TGTAAACACAGGACAGTGATAGATTGGACCTGCAGGAGCAGGACTGATGATGATTCGAGTTATGGGTTGTTTTCTGGAAACTAAAAGCTAGACCAACTAAATTTGTATGTACAGCAAGAAACACCAGGAAACATGCAGCCAAATTTGTAGTGAAAAGATGAGGACAGGCAACTAGGGTTTCCTGTAGCACATGCGGACAATTCGTGTGCATATAGATCGCCGTCCATAGTGAAGGGGAGCGAGCCTCCACGAACGCTGGGAGAGGGAAATCTAGCAGGAAGAGGTAAGGAGAGAGAGGGGGGGGACCAAATCGAGGAGGGGACGATGCGACGAATGCCGGGAGCAGGCTGCGCCGGGGCAGCCGCTGCCACGGCCAGTGGCGGGGTTCGCAGGCGTCGCATCGTGCCAAGAGGCGGCCACCACCAGCCCGTGGGCGCAGTTGCAGTGCACACTGGCAGCGCCGCCGCCTAGGGCGTGCGCACGTGGAGGTGCCCGCACCAGGGTCGGGCCGGTGCGCCACCACGTCGAGAGAGAGAGAGAGAGGTAGAGAGGGAGAAGGATGGGGAGAGGGAGGGGAGGCGCGGGCGGGGGAGGAGACGGGGTGCGAGCGGCAGAGGCAGCGCGCTGCGAGAGGAGCATGAGGGGAGGCTAGGAAGTGGGAGGGAGCCGGAGTTTTTTTTGCGAGAAGGGAGGCATCAATTTATTTCGGATGAATTTGGCCAAGGAAACCAATTCTGGGAGATGTGGCTCGCTGGGTGAATTTAGGGTGACGTGGCCACTTCGAGAGATATAATGATACATTTTATTTTGTAAAATAAAAAAAATATTTAAAAATTTAAAAATTTGAATTTGTGAACTTCGAATTGAATTTTAAGACAAAAAATGATCTAAAATAAAATGTTGTAAACATCAAAGTTGTAGAACTCATCAAGATGTACAATTTATATTTTGGTCATCTTTTCATTTGACAAAATTTGAAAAGTTCAAATTTTGAATTTTAATAAATGACAACTTCGAACAAGATTTTGAAAACTTAAATGATTTCAAATAAGAAAGTCATGAACATAAAAGTTGTTGAACACATCACTATCTACAACTTTATTTTGATCATCTTTTCATTTGACAAAATTTGAGCAGTTTAAAATTTAAAATTCAATAAATAGCAACTTCAAACAAGATTTTGAAACCTTAAATGATTTCAAATAAGAATGTCATGAACATAAAAGTTGTTGAACACATCACTATCTACAACTTTTATTTTGATCATATTTTTTATTTGACAAAATTTGAACAGTTCAAATTTTGAATTTCAATAAATGACAACTTCAAACCAGATTTTGAAATGTTAAATGATTTCATCTATAAAAGTCGTGAACATAAAAGTTGTTGAACTCATCACTATCTACAACTTTTATTTTGGTCACTTTTCATTTGACAAAGTGTTAGTAAACATTGTTCACAAATTCACATACCACTCATAGTTTCATGAACTATACGAGAGATATGTTCATTTGTGAACAATGTTTACTATCACTTTGTCAGATGAGGAAATAACAAAAATAAAAGTTATAGATCTTGATGAGTTAAAGATCTTTGATATTCATCACTTTTTCAGCTGAAATCATTTGGTATTTCAAAATCTTATTAGAACTTGTTAATTTTTTAAATTTGAAAATTTGAATTGCTCAAACTTTATCAAACGAAAAGAATGATCAAATCAACACAATAATTTGATAGGGCATGATTTTAGAAAATTTTAGAAAAAAAACCATCACATTTGGAGTTAGTATGAGGGAGAAAGACTAGTTACAAATTTTATCCAGAGATTAAAAAGAAAAATCACAGCTGTTCATGATGATCAATAATGAACAAGTGTAATTAGCCGCCTCTATAAATCGCAACACTGGGGGCGGCTCGTATCATCAGCCGCCTCTGCTGTGCCATTTGCAGGGACGGCTGGTCTCGTGGGTCCCGAGCATACCCACTGTAGGGGCGGCTCTATCATCAGCCGTCCAAAAAAAAAATTATCCCGTTGCTACAAATGTTTTTTTTATAGTGTCATCTCATCTGGTAGAGGGTTTGCTGAGATGAAAGTGAGATCTACAGTGTGCTCCTTTGTAGCCGCGCGCCGTGCTGAGCGAAGGTCTTGGTACCACACAAGTCAGGGTTTATTAGGCATGATATTTTGTTGTATTCTCAGGGGTGGCGCGTAGTTTAATTATTTCAATGTTCAAACATGTACAGGCAAATTAGTCTCTGAACTTTATTTTTACTCTTTCAGTCTTTCTAACCCCAAATAACGTGACCAGCTTATTATTAGGACATTTCTCACGGTCGTCACCGATACAAACCTTTGACTCATCAAACTTCCATAAAGATGGAGTATATATATATATATAGTAACATCCGTTTAGGTTAATTACTTGTCATAGGCAAAATACAGCAGCAATTCTTTCTAGACAAAATATATAAATGCTTCAAAGTCCATTATAATCGATTCTTTTATAGTGAAACATATTTTATTAGTATTATACACTTTCTTTTTTTGCGGGGTAGTATTGTACACTTTCAGGTATATATAAACTTCTTGTAGGAAATAATAGTGATCAAAATTGTTATAGTTTTTTTGCTAGTGACACAATTGAAATGAAGGTCGCTGTTATCATTTTAAATGAGAAGCTTATATATTACGAAAATATTTTCCATGATAAATATAGTAACTTTTTATTTATTGATGGGTTAAATTATAAAAGTTAAACCAACGCAACTCTAAAACGACCTACATTAATAACCGGAGGGAGTATTACTATTAGTTTTATTAAAATACATGAACTTTTTGTCAAGTTTTATAAAGGTGAAAGACCATTTCTTGTTTTTATCTCCATTTAATCCACATCTACACATTATATTGCCTTGAAGCTAGATTATGGGAGGACGAGTGGTTCGGAAACTTTTCTCTTAAAAAGCAACACCCATCGTTATATAGTATTGCTAGAACAAAACAAGTGTTAGTTGCTCATGCCCTTGATACTGTACCATTTAGTACTCTTTGGAACACGGGATTTTTTTTCCTTTTATGTGAAAATGGACTGATTTCTATGAAATTCATGTATAAATTATAGCATTCCAAGAATGTCTCGTTCCGAAGGTCTTTACCTAGGGAGAAACTAATTAAGTGGCATGACAAGATGACCAGAAAGACACTATCAAGTGAGGTTTGACAAGATTAGGCATTTTTACTCTGTGTATTTGAACCTGGTAAATCAACTAGCTTTACCTCTGAATAAGTCTATATGGAAGTTGAAGTTGCTTGTTAAAATTGAGATATTTGTTAACAAAAGACCATTTCTTGAAACGGAACTGGGAAGGTGATGATTCTTGCTATCTCTATAACTACAAGGAATCCATCCAACATCTGCTCTTTGGTTGTCACATCGCAGGATTTATTTGGAGGGTGTTTCATGTTGCATTTGGCCTAAGACCACCATGCTAAGGAATATGAATGACCTTTATTTGAATTTGGCTACAACATGTGGACCAAAATTTAAGACAGCAATATTATCGGGACAAGTGGAATTTGTTGGTCCATATGGTTGCGTAGAAATGATTTATTTTTTTACAACAAAAAAATACACTCTTATATGCAAGTAATCTTCAGGGCTACGTATGTACTAGACCCGGTTTTGGTTCATCTTGCAAAGGGATCGAGAGCAACAGGACAAGAATGCCGAATGCTAGAGAAAATAATGGTTAAGGAGAATTGGAGGTCTTTGCCAAGCAAGAGGTGGATGCCTTCTAATAGTCTTAGAGTTTAACTGTGGTGGTTGGAGTTAGAGTACGTTGTGCTGCATTCACCTGATCCTTGTTGCTTTCTTTAGTTTTTTTCCTTGAGCCAGAAGCTGCTACTATCAGCCTGTTCGGTTGGCTAGTTCGTATCGTTGCTAGGTTCGTTTATGTGAGAGAGAAGTACTGCTGACTGGTTCATGTGAATAGTGCCCATGTGAGGGGGCTGGCCAGCCAGCCCAGCCAGCCAGCCCCAGCCGAACGGGTTGTATAAGATGGTTGAGTGAATAATAACTCATCTAGAGGATGGAATATATAAAAGTCCCTTTTCTAAAAATAAACACCTGAATTTAAGTCTTGAAAGCAATACTTGTAGCTTATTTTTGTGTCGACCAATCTAGTGATAAACCTGCTAGTAACAGCGACCAGACCACCTCCTGTTTGTGCTACAGTACAAGTTTTGCAAGAGACGGTTGAACTCTCTCGTGAGTGGATCATAATTCATGATAAAATTAAGATTCCCCCAGTTGCCACGTGATCACGCGGTTTTGTTTCGCATGCGCCCTAGCTAAAACTAAAAGCATGTCCCAATGTAGTACGGTCATATATTTTAGGAAAATTGGTTCTATAGCATTGAAAGATCTCAAGAATCGAAAAATACTATTAAAAGAGCTTTGTCACGTAAAATACCATTCAAAGATGCAAACGTTAACCGAAAGTAGCATTCCATCACGTTCCGTCACATTTGGAGCTAACGGCATCCATCTCGAGCTAGGCACGTACGCTCCTTCTTCCTCCTCCATCCATCTACTACTCGCCGGCCGAAGAGGACGGTGGCAGAGGTGCCGTTGCTAGCAACGCTCACGCGGAGCTCGTGGGACTGGCCGCCCGACACCCCATGGTGTCCCTCGTCGCCGATGATGGTGTCGGCGGCACGGGCGAGCCTGAGCTGGCGGAACTCAGCGGCGAACAGCAACGTCTCCCGCACCCTGAGCATCGGGTACAGCAGGTCGTCCTGCATCGCGTACGCGGAGAAGTCGCGCTGGCGGCGGCCCTGCAGCGGCTCCCCGTTGAGTGTGACCTCGCCGCCGTGGAGGCTATCGCGCGCGATCCACCCCTCCAGCGCGTCCATGAGCCTCGGCGAGCAGCAGATGGATGGAGGAGGAAGAAGAAGAAGGAGCCTCGGCGGAGCCACGAGCCACTCCTCATTACTCACCATGAAGCCGGTGGCGCAGCCGCCGCTGCGGCTGCTGTGCGCGCTGGCGGCGGCGGCAGCTCTCTCCATCCTGCTCATCGCGCCGCCAGCGCTCGCCGCGCACCTCTCCTCCCTTCTCCTCGCATTCCCGGCCTCGCCCTACGCGAGCAGCCCCAAGCTGGTGTTCCTCCTGGCCGGCCAGTCCAACATCGACACCCACAAGGCTTGTGGCCTCGGCCTCGCCATGCCCTTCGCGCACCGCCTCCTCCTCCACGCCTTCGCCGCCACCGACTCCGACTCTGACCTCGTCCTGGGCCTCGTGCCCTGCGCTGTGGGGGGCACTAGGATCTAGATGTGGGCCAAAGGGGAGCCGCTCTACGAGGCCGCCATCGCCCGGGCGCGCGCTACCGTTGCCGCCGGCGGCAGGGACCCTCGGCGCCGTGCTCTGGTTCCAGGGGGAGAGCGATACCATCGAGCTCGATGACGCCACGGCCTACGGCGGCAGGATGGAGCGCCTCGTCAATGATCTCAGGGCCGATCTCTACGTCCCTGGCTCTTAGTGGATGGAGATGGATGTCGTTAGCTCCAAACGTGACGGAACATGATGGAATGCTACTTTCGGTTCACGTTTGCATCTTTGAATGGTATTTTACGTGACATAGCTCTTTTGATGGTATTTTTTATTCTCGTGATCTTTCAATGCCATAGAACCAATTTTCCCTATATTTTACCCCAGCTAGCCGTCCACGCTACGAATGGTGCTCGATAATTTTGCAACATTTTGTTTGCTTGCTTGTGGCGAGGAGATGGGATGGACAATGCACGGGGTGCATGGCATGATCCATAGTTGAGGACAAGCATGGGTGCGGTTTAAGTATCATGGCCTTTCTCTCTTCTTGCTTAGCACCGCACCAGTGTGTGTTCTTTCTTCTATAGCGTAGCTAGCATAAGGTCTCTCGATGCATTTGGGTGGTGGTGGCCAACTAAGCGCTTCGTTGGCCGAGGCCGCGGCAGACGCGAGTCGAGATGCGAACAGACCAAAGCCACCAAACCGCGTCTTGGAGCTAGAAAGCTGCAGAAGCGGCTAAAGGAGTGGTTTGCTCAGCTCGCCCTTGTGTTCTTTAATGTTGTTCCCTCCCCTTCCTCGCTCGCAAAAGAGGAATGCTGTGTACTTTAGCTCATCCTGTTCTGCCTCTCCTATCATGGACCCCTGCAGCAGTAGCTCGGGATATACTCCTATATCTGAATCTGAAAGCATGCATGATCCTGCATTAGGGCGTGTTTAGATACAAAAATTTTTGGGTTTGGGTACCGTAGTATTTTCGTTTTTATTTGACAATTAGTATCTAATTATGGACTAATTAGGTTCGAAAGTTTCGTCTTGTGATTTCTTACCCAACTGTGCAATTAGTTTTTTTTTCGTCTACATTTAGTACTCCATATATATGCTGTAAGATTCGATATGACGGGTACTGCACAAATTTTTTTGGATTTTAGAGAAAACTAAACGGGGCCTTAGACTTGAGAGAGAGTCCTCAAAAGTAGCTAGCCGGCCATGCTTTTCCTCGCGTTGTGTGGCCGCGAGAAGACAAAGAGCACCAGCTATTCTTTTCTCCGCGTCCCCACTCTTGTCAACCAGCGACACCGCACGAGCGCGTTCGCGGCCACGTATGCGTGCTCGGTGCTCGTTCGTCAACAGTTGGACTCGCCGGCCGGCCGATGACGCGGTTTCTCGGACCCGCCTCGGCATTCGGGATTTTGGGCGCTAGCCCCGGCCCAAGTACTTCTCATGGTGCCACCGCATGCATGCACACGCGCTGCAACTGCAAGCTAGTCGAGCTGCCGGCGACGACGGCGGCGACCCGGTGACATCGCTGACCGGAACGGACTACGTACTGTGCACGCTTGTCCGACTGTGCAATTAAAGAGATTACTTCTCTGAGACCTTCTGAACCTTCTAATAGTTGTAAACCACTTCCGCGACCGCCTTTTGGATTCTGCATGGAGACCAACAGAGGAAAAGGCACCGTATATGTGCTGCATCGCTGTTTGAGCAATACCAGCAAAGGGGTGTGTACGCTTTGCCCATCAAACAAGTCTTTGATAAAAGCCTTGCTACTACAAGGTCCTCTTTCCACACATAACTCTTCCAGAAGTACAAATTCATGCTTTGCAAAAGATAAAGAAACAAATCAAACAGATGTACGTCATGTTTGCTTGGCTTATAAACCGTATTTTTTCAGCCAACAAACAATATTTTTTTCTCACAACAAATCAACCAACATTACTTTCAGCCATGCTTAAGAGCCAAACAAACATGGCAGTAATGCATGGTGCAGTACCTGCTGGGTCAAGGAGACAAATATATAACCCAACCAGGGTTTTGGGGTCTCGGGGTAGGCCTGCTAATGGGTGGAAATCCACACATTAGAGATGCTCTTACCCAACCCAACCCATATCAAATTAACGTACTCTCTTCCTCAATCTACACCCACCCCATAACTTCATTACTTCAACCCAATCTAATCCAATCCACATACTAGTAGAGAACCCACATATTTGCTAAAAAAACCTTGGGGTTTGCATAAAAGGTATACATAAAATTGCATAGAACAAGTGGGTCCACATCAAAAGCCCAGTCCTAGATTTAAATTCTCACATTCACATCTTAAAAATTTAAGGAGATGATTGAATACAATAGTGAGCTACTTTGTACCCAACTAGCACTGACATGTCAACATGTGAGCCCCAGATCAAAGGCGGCTGATCTGGAACTAAAACCTCATGTGGATTAGTGTGGTAAATTCTGCATGTGGGACTCACATCAAAATCCGAACCATAGAATTAAAAGATTATGTTCTCACACCTTAAAATTTTTAGCAAAATTGAATGAAATTTTGTTAGAATGATTTAGTGTACTTGAGAATCAATTAACACCTCCAGATGCACATATAGGTCCCACATTAAGTTAACCGACTAAAATACGCATGAATACTTGAGAACCCAACCTATTAAACCCATGTCAACTCGATCCATTAACAATGTACAATTTGAAACTCAACAAAATATACGTTTTAGAACCAAATTTAAGTAACTCAAGTGCTGCAGGTCTTACCTATGAGTTGGTTTGGATCCGTCCAAGCTAAGTACTCGATGGTGAGTAGAGTGACCCAGTGAGAACTGGTTTTGGAAAAGGATTCTAAAATCCTAGTATGAACAACGCTTTTCCCCTATTCATCTCCCACTACAAAAAGCATCATGAATCTTTAAAGGGCTCTACATATAAACAAGACACAATTACACAACTTTCTCGCTCTCCCCTTTTGACAATGAGGTATCTAGAGCTAGCTTTAGGCTTGAAAAAATGCCGATATAAAGTGCTGCAACGCCTTGCAGACTTGTACTGGCCTCAACTAGGAAAGAATCAGCCATTATATTAGGGGAATCATGCTTTAATTTACTGGTTGTTTAGATGCGTTTGATAGGTTCCTCCATCTGGTCAAGGGGAAAATGCTGCTGGTTTCCTACTGTGGACCAAATCTTCTAGCAGTAAGCTGATACGCTATATATTCTTTCATTGATTGGTTTGGTCCACTAATACTATACTACATGAGTTAAATGCACCAGAGATCCATTAACTTGTGAGGAGGTTTCAGTTAGATCCATCAACTTTCAAAGTAGTTTTTTGGGTCCATAAACTTAGTATGTCATATCACTTAGATCCATATCCCTCCACGTAGGCTTCTCATGCTGACGTGGCCTGCTGATTTGTCCTTCTAAATCAACTATTGACGCTTCATTTCGTCAAACATGTTGCGGACGCGCGAGCAGGTGCCGCCGCCGCCGCCGCCGCTGCGGGAGCGCAGAACAGGCCCGCCGCGGGCACGCGGGCGAGGTACAGAGCACTCGAGGTTTGGTTGCGCCCCCAGGCTAGGCTGGCAGCGCGTGCCGCTCTCCCATCACCGTCAGCACGACCAGCTGCAACGTAACGAGGCACACCCGAAGCACCCATCCTCGGCCACGCTCTTTGCTGGCGCCGGCGCCCCGCCACCGCCATGGGCGTGTGCGCCCGGGCAGCCGCGCTCTGCCCGTGGCCGTGGCCCCGACCGCGTCACCACCACCGCATGGACCTCACGGGCCCCGTAGCCGCCGCCTCCATGCTGCCGGTGGCCATCTCCGTGAACGCGCGAGTAGGCGGCGAGACACGCGAGCGCGCGCGCCGCCGCCGCGCTGCTGGCGCGTGCATGCGAGCGCCGCGCGCCACATGAGCGTAGTAGGGCGCAGCCAGGCGTGTGGGCGCTTGTCTGAACAGGGTCGCGAGCACCGTCATAGAGAGAACAACCGCCATGCCACTGCACACCGCGAGCGCCGCGGCGTGCTCGCGTACGTCGCCCTCGCGCTCGTCGGTGCCAGGTGCTGGTGCCACGGCGCCGAGAACCCACTGTTCCGCAAGGCCGCCGCGTACGAACCCGGAGCAGGGGCGCCGAGCAAGCGCGTGTGGGTGAGCACTGAGCAGCCGTGTGAGCGGGCACGTGTGTGTGCAGGGTCGCGCGAGGAGGAGAAGCGGGGCTTGGTCGTGGGGTCCAGCCACGGCGCATGGAGCGCACAGGTCGGAGGCGGCACGGAGGCTTGGATGTGGCGCTTGTGTTGCGTGAGGCTCGAGCATGGGCGGCAACCGTGGGTCCACGGTGGAGGAACAGAGAGCCAGCGCCTTCTGTTGCTGTGCTGGCAGACAAGGTGGTGGTAGTGGAGGAGGTGTAGTCCGGCGCGGCCCGTCCCGCCGCGCCGCCTGTGTCGCCGGGTGCCACCGCAAATCTGGTCGAGAGCATAGCCACCCGTCAGCGCACATGCGTGCTCGACGGATGTCGCGCCGGAGCCGAACTCGAGCGCGCGGGGATGCCCAGGAGGAGGATGGTGGCGCCCGTGCGTGATGCCGGTTCAGCGCCGCGCGTCGCGGCCGCCGGCGCCAGCAAACCCACGGCAGCGGAGTGTGGATGCTTAGGGCGGTCGACGTCGATCACGGTGATTGAGGCATCGAAGATCGCGGACGATGGCCGCCCTCCGTTTGCCGCCTCATGGCGGCGAAATTTCGCCGACCAACCCCAACGTGGCTGCCCGGCCAGCGACTTCGGGTGCTTTCAGCGTGGCGGCGTGATCAAGCACCAAAGACGGCAGGCGACCGACCTTCACTGCGCTTTGTGTGGCAGCGGCGGAAGACTTGCTTGCACGCTGACAACGTGTTTGACGAAATGAAGGGTCAATAGTTACTTTAGATGGACAAGTCAGTGGGCCACATCAGCATAAGAAGCCCATGTGGAGAGATATGGACCTAAGTGATACGGTATATAAAGT